AAAGAATGAAGTTTTACCTATATTGTATAATATTTTAAAGCAACTTACATATAGATTGAGTTGCTGCATTCGCCCTGGCTGCAGTCCTGTAAGAAACATTGAATTCTTTAATGTGTTATCATAGGAAATAAACAATAAATACAACATACATTTGTCTGGCCTCACAGGTAGTAGTAAAAAATGTATTGTACAGACAAATAATTTCATAAGTGAGATAGCACACGAGTGTAACTCCTGGAACAAAATGTGTACAATCTCTTAACATTAGTCATGAGTGGAAGTGTACATCCCGTCAGTAGACATATGCTATTTGCCAATATAGGTGGGAGGCACACTTGGAAAGCATGCTCCCCTTTCACCAAGATGACCAAGGTTAAACTCCCCAATTGGATAGGGTTTTGGGTCGCCTATCCCAGCAGATTAATTTTCTCTGGAAACTCAACATTAAGACAACTGTGTGCTTTTGGGCCAACAAGACTATTTTGTTTTGAATTATAAAAGAAATGTTACCTAATTGTTGTTAAATAGGTGAAATTAATCTTAAGTTTTAAATTACTCATACCAATGATATCCATCTCAGATAACCCTGTATGTCACAACTGATATCCATCTCTGATAACCCTGTATGTTACAACTGATATCCATCTCAGATAACCTGTATGTCACAACTGATATCCATCTCAGATGTCCCTGTATGTTACAACTGATATCCATCTCAGATGACCCTGTATGTTACAACTGATATCCATGTCGAATAACCCTGTATGTCACAACTGATTTCCAACTCAGATGACCCTGTATGTTACAACTGATATCCATCTCAGTATAACCTGTATGTCACAATTGATATCCATCTCAGATAACCCTGCATGTTACAACTGCTATCCATCTCAGATAACCTGTATGTCACAACTGCTATCCATCTCAGATAACCCTGTCTGTTACAACTGACATCCATCTCAGAAAACCCTGTATGTCATAATTGATATCTATCTTAGATAACCCTGTATGTCATATTTGAAAATTATGTCAGATTATCCTGTATGTCACAACTGACATCTATTGCAGATAACCCTGTATGTCACAACTGCTACCCATCTCAGATAACCCTGTATGTAACATCTGATTTCCATCTCAGATAACCCTGTATGTTCCAACTGACATCCATCTCAGATAACCCTATATGTTACAACTGACATCCATCTCAGATAACCCTATATGTCACAACTAATATCCATCTTAGATTACCCTGTATATCACAACTGATATCCATCTCTGATAACCCTGTATGTCACAACTGATATTCATCTTAGATGGATGTCAGTTGTAACATATAGGGTTATCTGAGATGGATGTCAGTTGAAACATACAGGGGTATCTGAGATGGATAGCAGTTGTAACATGCAAGGTTATCTGAGATGGATATCAATTGTGACATACAGGTTATACTGAGATGGATATCAGTTGTAACATCAAGCGTCATCTGAGATGGATATCAGTTGTAACATACAGGGTTATCTGATATCCATCTCAGATAACCCAGTATGTCATAATTGAAACTTTGTCACTGTTTTATGTGATTTCCATCTCAGATAACCCTGTATGTAACATCTGATTTCCATCTCAGATAACCCTGTATGTCGCAACTGCTATCCATCTCAGATAACCTGTATGTCACACCTGCTATCCATCTCAGATAACCCTGTCTGTTACAACTGACATCCATCTCAGATAACCCTGTATGTTACAACTGATATCCATCTCAGATAACCCTGTATGTCATTACTGATATCCATCTCAGATAACCCTGTATGTCATAATTGAAACTTTGTCACTGTTTTATGTCAGAGAGTTTGGATGTCTGAAGCCTTTCAGACATGAAATCCTCTTCCCTGTACATTTTCTACATTATTCCTGAAAATATAACCAGTGCAGACAAAAAATGTATTGTTTTCTCTATAGACCTACTTGGACTTATCCTGTGTTGGTTTCTTTGATGACTTGGCATTTCTTGGTCGTGGGGTAGCACTGTGAGATTTTCCCTGAAAACAAAAATTAAGCCCCATCCAGCATGGTTTCATACATGTAGAATGTTCTACAGTTAACAATTAATATAGCTGGTAAGTTCAATCACTTCATACCACATATATATATAAATACATAAAGAATTTTTTTAAAGTTTACACAAGTTATGATTTTGAGGTGGGGACCAATATCACTTCCTTGTTTATTGATCAGTGACTGGGTCACCTGGAGCATGGCTAGATACTAAGGCCTATCCTGGTAGCATATGTGTATTCATCTCATGATGCACTTGAATGTATGGTTTTGGGAAGAATAACAACTGTTTCATGGTCGTATTACTTCTTTTTGGCCAACTCCTTAACCTCCAGGGGCTTCAGCACCTACATTTGTTCAATTTTGCCTCCCCACCAAATGAGGATGATTTCCCCCTCATATGGCTAGTATCTATCAAAGAGATCCACAAACATTACTTTTTGGTCACGTCCCTCAGACACCTGGTGGGTCAGCTCTTCCATTTGTACATTTATAAATCCCCACCACCTAAGGGTAATTCCATTTCATTTGGTGAAATTATGTTCAGTGGCTGAAAGTTGTTTTATAGCCAGATGGATGGACAAGTTGAGCTAAAAGTGATTAAGTGGTTATATAACAACTAAATTTTCCATACTACACAAAGAAAATACTAAAGTTTCAACCGCCACAAATATACCTTAATTTCAAATTCAAAGGAGGAGTCATGTCTGATCAAGCCGGCAGGTTTGAGCCCTGAAAAATATACAAAATGTGTATGCATAACATGTTGATTTAAAAAAAATAAGTTTAAATAAAGAAAGAGACATTGTCATTACTTTATTAAAAAATAAATGTAAAACTGAGCAAAACATCTTAGATATCCGTATTACCACTTTGTCCTAATCTATCTGGATGTAAACACACTACAGATTATTGAATGGTCGTTGATTTATCAAACAATATCAAATAAATAAAAACGAACTTGTGAATGATTCATCAAAATGTTTGATTTACAGCACTACATATTCACTCAGATCATGACCTATTTACAAACATGCCCACCTGGCCCCGTCCTTTTGGTTTTGGAAGCCATCACTCCTCTATTGTATCTGTAATAATATAAATCAAAATATCACACAGCAATATAAATACATCAATTCTTGAACATTTAACTGAACACTTAAGTAAAATTTAAAACATTAAACTTTTCAATTTTACTTGAAGTGCACTCATTATCTTATTTCTTTATAACTGTAAGAGATTAGCCTATGATTGATCATCTGAAGATTAAATAAAATATGTGTTCGAGAAAACTAAACAGGCTAAGGTATATATAGTATATACATGTATGCTGTGTACTAAATAATGTTTATAGTGTGTACACTGTAGATGTAACTGGTATATATAAAGGTATATATGTAGGGACCTGATTATGTGGACCCATCTTGGTGGGTAGGGATTATTATATATAACAGACATTTTTGAAGTCATTAATGTGTTCAGTATAGTGTGGTGTGCATGCTTTACACCTATATGAGTATATGATTATATGCCCATATATGGTGTGAAGATTATCATGTTGCTGGAATCATTGTCATGTGAATGTGATGAAGAAAAACTGAATTAATAAATAAACGCTTGGCTGTAAATACTTGAACAAGATTAATTATTTCAAAGCAGGGATCTAAATATTTAATTCATAAAGGACTCTGTTCAAAGTAAATATTTAAATCAAACTGATATCTGATCGTAATAGTTACATGTATAGAATTGTATATATTGTATAAAGGGAGGACGCTTTCAAAATTTAAATGCTTTTGAAATATTAAACCACACTCTAATATACCTGCAGAGCCGTCTGGCTATCGTTAGAGAACTCACCAGACAGGTAATCAAGAGTTTCATTCCAATACACATTTAAATGTAGTTAGTGTACCATATATATAGACATGTTTTATAATGTAACAAACTATAAAGTTTATCCGAACATACATAATACAACATTGTACAATATTGAGTCGTAAAATCAATTCAGACATCTTCGATCGGAATGTAAACATACAACAGCGTTAGTAGGTGGAATAAAGTAGTTTGTGTTTCACAGGTATTCTACAGGTACATGCTATACATACATTGCTCATGTAAAACCAGCTAAAATAACTCGTTTGTCTAACTTGCAGAGATATCTATGCATATCACGCTGGCATGAGGCATTATCGTCGGCTACATCTGGATCTCAGAAAGAAATGCAAGCACTGACATGCAAGACTGAACCTTAGAATACACAACAGATACAAACTTACCCTCTGTCTGCCGTACAGCTCGACGGCTAACATCGGGCAGACATGTTTGTTTACCCGGGTGACAGCGGCCAAGGTAGATAACCAGGTGTTGTAACACAGTACTGTAACCAGTGGGGCTTTGTATATGTCCCACATGAATAGTCTCTGTTGTCGAATCAATACTTGTACAAGTATTTGGCATGGTTCTTTACAGATCTGCTCTGGTGTAATGTCATTTTTTTATTGGCAATGTTTTCAAAAGCCATTTCCTTACTTCAAAGAGAAATAAGGAGAATATGAGAAAAGTAAAGATGCCAAGAAAATGGCATGTGCTTACGTGTTTTCATTTTTTCTATGATCGGTGAAATATACATGATGTATTACACATGATACACTTTCTTTATGAATTATATTACTTTTACCGTACAGAGCGCCCACTCCCTTTGTTTAACATCAATTTTTGTGTGTGTATAAATAATTCCTTTTGTTTAACATCCGTGTTGGTTTTGTTCATCTTTCTTGAATAATTCCATTAATAAAATGTCTTTCTATAGAATTTTAAATAATTGAAAATGATAGAAAAAACGTATTTGAAAGAGTTCATTTGATGTCTTCAAATTTTGCATGTAACAAATAGCGTGCACCTCTAGAACGATTTAAGTAAAAATATAGGTTTACATTTTTATTGCTTGTGTAACGTCTGAAATAAATGATTGGACGTAACTTTTTGTTTAATACTTTGTTGTCGTGTGATGATACCTTAGGAAAAGCATCTTTGTAGATATAATCGTTTAAGGTTTCTACATACAGTTTCTAACTACATTAATATATTTGTAAATATAATATGTAAACTGACTAAAGCAAGCTTGAAACATTATCTTCGGACATACTTTTATATAAACTGTCTGCATAGAGCTAAAAGTAACATTATGTTTGTAAATCGATTTCCACGTGTATTTATTTCTCAAACTATGCCTTTTGGTTTTATGCGCGAATACTTGTATTACTTGGAAACTGTGTTTTATACAAGGGCTGTTAAAAGGAAAGATAAGATACTTACCGTCCAAAAAAAGGAGAAATACCTGCTTCTCATATCTTCCAGAATTTGAAATGGAAGACATCAGACTCCACTTTTTTCGCTCCAGATGTTACCATTTCCCCACAGTATGACGTACCGTAAGGGTTACCCTCCTACACAACTCTATGACAAACGTGAACTCTTGAATTCCATTACCAACAGCTTTACTCGATCATGATGTAACTTATTTGTTATGTTCTGAAGAGTATACTGTATGTCATTGCTTACTAATGTTTCCCTTGTAGTATACTTTATTATCATTTATGGCAAGTCAGCTTAACGTTTATTCAAGGAGCAATGTCGATCCTGTATTTCAAAAAATAAAAAATAAATTTTATATGGCATATAATGTATCTTATACATAATATAACATATCTCATATACTATATATACGATGTTTTATATCGTATATAAGATTTCTTTTATAATATATAAGATATCTCATAATTATGCTATACAATATATCTTATATACTTAGATATCTCTATTGTATATGAGATATCTTATATAATTTAATGAAAAACAGGATCAACATTGCTCCTTGAATAAATGTTAAGTTGGCTTGCCATAATCATTACTTATAATGTAGAATAGTATATTATGTTATACACCATTAGATCCAACAACAATTTTAAGACGTGTCATTGTATCATGCTGTGTTTTATATCAATGTATTTCATTGTAATATGCTGTATTGTTATGTATGTCATTGTATCTAAATGTACTAGGATATTGTGTCTGTCGTTGTTAATTGAAGTAATGTCATTGTATATTATCTAATCTAATTCCGTGGTATACTACTTCTTTTCATAAAGTGCATGTATAACATTGTAATATGCTGTATTGTAATGTATGACATTGTAATATGCTGTATTGTAATGTATGACATTGTATCTAAATATATTAGAATATTGTGTCTGTCGTTGTAATAAGAAGTAGGAGAATGATACATGTATTATTACTATAAGTCATTGTATGTATAACATTGTATAATGCTGTAATATCCTACTGTATAGCATTGTATTGTTATGTAAATACTGTTTATGTTTTGTCTTCTCTACGATGTAATGCGAAACACAAAGACTGATAAAGAACTTGACTACGGCTTTCAGGGTTTCTCTCCTTTGTGTAGTTATTTGGAGGTGTACGTCTGTTGTCAAGGTAGGTAACTCAGCGTTCAAAGTCTATGCTTTTTGTAAAATGTCATTGCTATTTCTGATTTTTTATTATTATTATAATATAATCAGTTTTGATATTATATGCCTCCTCCGTTAAGTAGATAAATAGCTTACTTGATCTACAGGAAAGCTAATACTAATCACAATGCGTTTATTCTATAGTTACAGCATGTTAGATAAATGCCTGTCGGTGACAACATTTAGCAAATGATAGATTTGAAACGTTATCCGATATATGACAAAACATATACTGTTCAAAAACCTTTCAAATCCAAATGTTCGATGATTTCTTAAGTTCCAACATTTTGCTCCATAAATCTTCGTCTACAGGTGTTCCAGCGGATGTGATATTCAGAGTAAGCATTATTGATATCAAGCTTTGAAGCACTTACTACACCTTATCTGAAATGTATCGTTTACATACAGCTGGACAGAACATACTCCTTGTATCATCCAGTATCTGAAGATTCAGTTGATGAGATTTTGTTCCATTTTAATCAGTTTTGGTATCTTCATTTAAAATTTCAGAACATCACCTGTCAGAGATTGATGCTCACAGGATTTCAACGTCAGATTTCAATGGATATACCACGAAAACCAAAATAAAAACATTGGAAAATACATATTTTTACAATTAAAGGTTATCAATATTTCTAACCTGTATGCATGCTATAGTTCTAAATAAACTATGTTTGCATTTTTCAGCTAAATCAGTCTACATGTTTATAATATACCACATATGACCATAAATATTACCTCATTGTTCACACCGAAGTCAACGTCTTGATAAATTGATTGCACATATACATGTATCACAAATAATTAATATCAATATTAATTGACATATGTCTCAATAAAAAGTGGTATATTTTCCTTTATGTTAAAAACGAATAACAAAACACAAATATAGGATAACATTTTATTCTTATAACTTAAAATAACTTAAACAGTAAGTATAGTAACGTAGTAAAATAAAATGGTCGAAAACAAGAGGTAGGAAGCGGAAACGTTACGATGACCTTCCGGAATCTACCTGTTAGAGTCCCTGTACATACAATGCATTTTTTTAAAGTATTTAAGCATGCTATTAATGATGAAATAAATAAAAAAAATTATTAAAAAGTGATTGAAATCGGCTTTATGTAAGAGATGATTGTATATTGTATTTGCTAGCAATAAAAAGTTAAAAAATACGAATTAAGGTACAAGATATTTTACGTGAGTGTAAAAATGACAAAAGACAATGTGAGATTGTTAAGCATTCTGTTGCTAGGTTACACTTACTTTGTATTTCACAAGATATACACATTGGTACCCGCGCCTAGATGAACGACAGGGCAATACCATCGATACAAAAAGGGTCGAAAAATGACGAGAAGTGTATAAAATTAGGATTTTTCTAAAACAATAAATAAATGTATCCGTTCCTAATTTGATGTTTTGAGATTCATTACTTGGGGAGATGAGCGTTTTACCCTACCCATGTACAAATGGACGGTTGGAATAGAAGGGATAGCATGTAACGTAAACCTGACGTATGGAACCTCTGAACATCGTGGGGTTCCTAATGATCTCTGCTTTCTCCTTTAAATCACAAGCTATAGGGCTAGATGGTATAATAACAATTTATAGTTATACCGTATCACTTTCTAGTCACCATGGTAACACCGTTAAGTCATTATGATAACATTTTCTTGCCACGATGATAACATATGTTCTCTTAGATGTAACACTTTCTTGACCGAGTTATATTATTTTCTAACCCAGTTGGTAGAACGTTCTCGTTAAAGTGATACCATGTGATAACATTAACAAATCCTGATTTTACCACTTTTTAGCTCCGGTAGTAACATTTTCTAATCATAATGGTGACAGTTTTAATCCTAGTGGTAACACTTTCTAGTTCCAGAGGTTACACTTTCTAGACCTAGTGATTTTCAAGTCCACGTGACGACATTTATTTATGTTTTGTCCCACAGATTAGATTTTTCTAGTCCATAACTGCATTAATTTGGAGTTTCGACATAGTTACAATATAATCTCCATAAAAACCCCGCGATGATACAGTTCTATGGTGCCACTATTCGTCCCTCGGTGTCACATTGTTTGGTCATTGCTATGGTTACATTGTCCAGCTTCCATACAACTACCATTTAGGACTAGATCCTCGTAGACACACTGTTAAATCAACACGATGAACTGCGGAGTCATCATGTTACCACATTTGGATCTAAATGGTAACACTGTCAAATTTCAATACTAAAGATTGGTGGTGTCCATGGTATCGGCTAACATCCTGTGTGGAGTGTATAGACCAGTATCCTAGTGGCTTGTGGCCCTATGAACACCACCAGGGTCTGAGAGTTGGCAGAAAAACACATGCTGACTATCTCAAAGTTGGACTTTGTGCTAAACACCTCTTTGCCTGTAGAAGCTTCCCAAATCTTGATTGTATTGTTACGACATGCAGAGGTCACCCATTCACTGTTTGGCGAAAATATTGTCAGTTTCACCTGAAAAGTACACGATAAACAAAAAATAGTGAGTAGGGGGGGGGGGGAGCACTTTAGAGAATGATTAAGTACAAAAATTACTTTAAGGTACACTGCAAATAAGCCTTTTTATGATTCTAAGCTTCCACTTCGAAAAAAGAATAATATCAACAAAATTGTGTATTTAAAACCTCGAAATTTCGAAAAAAACTCAACCAAAATAACGAGATACTTAAACGAAAAAACGAAATTTACTTGGTCTTAATGCTCTTCTATACCTTTTGCTATTATTTAACAAACGAGTATAAAGTTACAGAGTAGGAAGGAG